TATACCATAGAAAAAATTGATGAAAAGCTGGGTCACAATTTTTTTTTATGTTGAAGGTATCAACAGGGCGCATTTGCGGTTTGAACTGTTGAAGGTTTGGTCGCCTTAATTCTATTTCAAATACTCGTGTAGACTAAGTTCTTCCTGCGTCGCTGTTTGGCTTGCTTTTATTTGCGTGTTCCTAGAGTATTTGGCGTAACTTGTTACAATTTGTTACATCTTCTTCACCATCATCATCATCATTGTCACCATCACCCCTTTTCAACAACAACATCAGCATCGTCGAGACCGTTATCATCATCAGCTTCATCGTCACCATTAATCTCCATCAGCACTGCAACAAACCTGAAACCCAGATCACGACTCGTTTGACGTAGAGTCTTTGTTTGCAGCGTTTGAGAGAAACCCAACGCAACCCAAGTCAACGACCCACACGCAAGTAATCAAAGCTGGATAGTTTATGCTTTTTGAGCCGCTGAAGGTCTGAGCTCGCTTTAAGGTTGATAAAGCAAGTCTCGCAGATGGACCACTGCGCTTTCGTGTTGATGCTGCTGCTGTTGCTATACAACATTCCAAGGTTCTTGAGGCTCGCGTCAATCTGTTACTTACCAGCAATCGGCGCTTTGCATCGATTTCACTTTGCAAAAAGCCTGCGCAGGTCTTCAATGTCAGCTGCTCCTGCGGACGTGGAATGCTTCGCCCACCAGTGTCGCAGTTCATTCAATCTGGGGATTGCACCAACGTCTTCGGAGTCCGAAGTTCCGCTGCTTGGTGGAGGACATGCTGGAAGGACCAGATGCTTTCTTCCAGATAAGTGGTGGACATGAAAGTTGCAAGCACGAAGCATTAGAAACAATGGATGCGGCGCATGATGAGGGACCACAGTAAAATTGCATTCAGTTGCCCATTCCCAAACAGTTTGTTGAAACCTCACCCGAGGAAACTTCAAACCACCTGTGGATTTCGGCACAACAACCTCGCCTTTTGCAGCGTGAGAAGTGACCGATCTGTGGAAAGCCAGACACATGGCAATCGAGTCGGATTTGGCGTGAACACATGTCGCTGCGCGACTGACCTGGTCTGACACGCTCTTCGAGGCCAAATGGCGCAGGAGTCGGCAAAGCCCCTTTAAAGCATCCGCCACCTGCTGCTCAGTCGCACGCTTCTGCTCCGCTGCAATTTGCACCTTGTGATAGCTGTCCGCCTCATTTGCTACGAGGATTGCATCATAAGCCTGACCACGCCATCCAAGCATACTCTCCATGTCCATGCATGGGATGAGTCCTATGGCTCTCTGGTTGTCAAACAGTTCAGCCTCGTTCAAGAAGCACATCTTGTTCCACTTGACATGCCTCAAACAATATCGTTCCAGATTTCTGACCGTGGAACCTTGCACCAGCTTGGTGAAAGGGACTCCACTGTTCCTCTTTGGATCATCCGGAAAAAGTGTGGTGAGAGCAGGCTGCCAGACTTCTGCGCAACTTAAACTGTGTGGCAGGATGTGTGCGATTTGACCACCTTTGCCACCAAGAACGTTGCATCTGTCTTGCACGCGGTGACGAGAACTGCTGGGACCTGCTGATGAGCCTTCGCCAGTCCATTTGGAAAAAAATTGCACGGCGTCTGCGCGCGGGATCGCAGGAAACTCCCCGCGCCACCGCTCCGGTATGCGGAATGCTATCATCGAACCCACTTGCACGTCTTTCCATGTAGACCAGTATTCTCCAGTCACTTTCAGCAGCTTCTCCTGTGGGTAACACCTACATATCCAGCCAAACCAACAAACCTGGGACTAATTAGCGGGGTTAGCGAGAAGGGGAACCTGAAACTAAGGGGAAAAGCGATTGTCTTCGGATGAGTTGCCTCTGCTGGAATGGCTGAAGAATCGTAGCTGATGATGAGCGGCCTCTCCTCACTTTGTCCAGAAGCCACACGACTCATTGGTGTTGCCCGCTTTAGAGGAGTAGCCGCCTCTGATGTTTCGTGCATATTCAGGTTTCCATATGATAAAGGAAGCTTTGCCCTTTCCGCTGCAGCGAGCAAGCAATCGTCCACATTTTTGTTGCCTCCCAACTCGCTCTCATAGATCAGCATAGCACCGGAAACACCCTGCACATATACCCACCAGCACTTGCCACGCCGGAGTGGAGACCGACTACGTTCACGGATTTGCTGTGCCATGGAGCTGTCAGCAAACCAAGAAGGTCCCGTGTCTGACTGGCATGAGACCGTGTTGATAAAGGATATGCGAAACAAACCAGGGCCTTCCGTGCAAATCAGCGAACACTGTAGCCCAAGAGGCATCTGCGGTGCAGACTTGACCGACCTTAAAGCCACATCCTGAGCCTGCAAGTGACTCGACCCTGAGGCGTGTAGCCCCTGCTTCCTGATTCTACGAACCTAATTTTGCCTGTTAAGGGTGGTACAGGTTTGGGGATTCTTAGTGGTAGGGTAAGGGTGGTGGCCTTGGTGGATTAGTGGGT